ATCTTTCCATTTAAAATATACATATGTGTACTGCTTTTGGAATAGATATATTTCTGAGTACTTATAGAAGAGAAATGAGTTAATTACTTAAAAAGAGAAAAGATGAACATTTTTTTAAATTGTCTATGTTAGCACGCTGCCTTAACTTACAGATGTAGAAATTACTTTGTTATTTTCTCATTTGACCCCAGTATGTTTGTTGTTGTTTATAAAATAATCTTGTGAAGTTTTCAGGCTTCTATTTTAGGTAACATTGAAAAATTAAAGTTGCTTGGTCCAAGAAGATGCTTTGTTGAATTTGGAGCTGGAAAAGGGAAATTATCTCATTGGGTTGATATTGCCTTAAAAGATGCTGAAAAGGTTCACTTCATCCTAGTAGAAAAGGTGACCACAAGATTCAAGGTAAGCAAATCATTGCAATATATTAGTAAACTATTTTTCTCATAGTTTTTGTTTTTTTTAATGATATCCAGGAACCTGTTTCTTAAGGAAAACAAGAAATTTTGCATGTGTAATTTGTTTTAGAAGGAGCCCTGGTGGTGTAGTGGTTACGAGTTGGGCTGCTAACTACAAGGTCATTAGTTCAAAACCAGCAAGCACTCTGTGGGAGAAAGAAAGGGCTTTCTACTCTGGTAAAAAGTTGCAGTGTCGTGTCTTTCTAAATAAGCTAGGCAGAATAAACAATCGAGGAGAAAACAACAGGATTGACGGTTCCGGGGGGACATGGTAGAGGGGAGGTGGGGGAAAGGAAAGGGGTTGTCAACAAACCCAGGGACAGGAAAACAACAAGTGATCTAAATCAATGGCGAGGAGGGCGTAGGATGCCTGGTGGGGCTTGATCAAGGACAGTGTAGCCAAGAGGAATTACTGAAACCCAAACGAAGGCCAAACATGATAGTGGGACAAGAGGAAAGTAAAAGGAAATAAGAAATAACTAGGAGGCAAAGGACATTTATAGAGGTCTAAATATAGGCATGTACATATGTAAATATGGTTATAATGATAGGGAAACAGATCTATGTGCATATACTTAAATGTTAAATATTAAAGCAGCAGACAGACTTCACGCAAGAACACTTTGTTCTAATAACCCCACATTCTGGGATGCTCACCTTCTCCATACAATCGCTAAAGACAAAATGAGTACATAAGCAAGTGTGGCGAAGAAAGCTGATGGTGCCCGGTTATCAAACAATATAGCATCTTGGGCCTTAAAGGCTTGAAGATAAACAAGCAGCCATCTAGCTGAGAAGCAACTAAGCCCACGTGGAAGAAGCACACCAGCTGTGTGATCATGAGGTGTCGATGGGATGAGGTATCAGGCACCAAAGAACCAGAACAAAAAAAATCGTATCATTGTGATTGAGGGGTAGGGGAGTGGAGACCCAAAGCCCATCTGTAGACAATTGGAGGTCCCCTTACAGAAGGGTCACAAGGAAGAGTCAAGCCAATCAGGGTGCAGTATAGCACCGACAAAACATACAACGCTTCTCTAGTTATTTAATGCTTCCTTTCTCCCACTATCATGACCCAGTTCTCCGGCTAGACCAGAGTATGTACACAGGTACAGATAAGAGCTCGCAACACAGGGAATCCAGAACAAATAACCCCCTCAGGACCAACAATGAGAGTAACGATACCAGGAGGGTAGGGAGAAGGTGGGGGGAGGAGGGGGAACTGATCACAATGATCGACATATACCACCCCCACCCTGGGGAGACAAGCAGCAGAAAA